CCTCTACTGGGCACACTAGACAGGGAACCGAAACCCTAAACCCCTAAAGCCCAAAACCCTAAACCCCTAAAGCCCTAAACCCTAAACCCTAAACCCTGAACCCCTAAAGCCCTAAACCCTAAATCCTAACCCCTAAGGCTCGAAAAGGTTTCCACAGAGCTTCCTCGGGTTCCCCGACTTTTAGGGTAGCAGCACAGAGAATAAGGTCAGCCATTAGCAGCATGAGGATGGTGGTGATGATGATGATGACGCTTATCACTGTGGCAATCCTCATCATCTTGATTATCCTTCCTCTGCCCTCTTTATTTTGTCGACTGCTCCTGTTATTATTGCCACTACTGCTGCTAACTACAACATCGACGACTGCTGCTGCTGCTGCTGCTCCTGCTACGGCTACTGCTACTGCTGCTGCTACTGCTGCTTGTTAATTGTGGTTCTACTTTGGCAGAAAACATACTCCGATTTTGCGATTTATCTAGTCTCAACTGAGACAAGATTGTGTTGAAAAATGTGTGAAACCATTAATTTTTATTGTACGTGTACATGTTTGATCAATGTTGATCACTTTCTTCACTGTATTTGTCTCATGTGGCTTTGACTGATATTAACTAGCTAACTAACTATCGATGCCATCTATCGATACAAGCTATCGATACATTGTACGTGCATGTATAGGTCATTCAATATCCTTGCACTAACAACAATTATATTTAATCATAAATTCTTCATAATTCCAGGGCATATTTATTGTTGTATGATAGACATTAAAGTCTTTTGTCTGTAACTGGTATTCCAAGTGATTCAGGAAATGAAAAGCGACGAATTGGTGTTATGGCACTGTATGATGGAGCTATGTTAACTGCACTCATTTGGCTTAATTGTTTCAAATACATAACCAAAAAACAGATGTAAAAACAAACATGTACACAATTCGAAATGTCTCACAATCAAAACATTCAAAACACTCAAAACAAAACAGTAAAACATGCAAATACAATCATTGGTCCATTGTATGTACCAAAGCAAGGCTAAAAAGACTTACATCCCATCTTATCGTACGAAATGTTTATAATATATGTTTGTATTTTTTAAAAAGCTAACATGCAGGTGGTATCACATTATTTAGCTTTAAGAAATTATGAAAGACAATATGCTCAATAGATTATTCCCTTTCATGTTTGCCCTTTTGACATTTTGCAGCAACAGTATATATGCGGAAACACAAGAAGAGGAAACTGATTTAAAAGGCAAGCGGAATTGATTACTAACTATTAATTATTAATTAACTAAAATTGCCTGAAGGTGCATCACTTGCTACTCTTGTTGGTGCACACTTTTTTCAATGGTTATTGGTAATCAGTAGCTACTGCTACGGCTACGGCTACGGCTACGGCTACGGCTACTGCTACTGCTACTGCGAATGCTACTGCT